TAGAATTTGTATTGATAAAGCCACTGGATGGCGAAACGTCTACAATAAAGATACCCAGATGTTGCACATGTGTCTTAATCTCATCTTGTCGGTATTGTATACCATTCGTACACAAGAGACGAAGTGTCAGAATGAGCGCCTTTGACGAGCGGGGTACCACAGGGGTCAGTCTTAGGACCGGTGCTCTGGTATATGTGAACGACATGATGGAAGGAATAGACTCAGGAGTGTTTCTGTTTGCAGATGTGAAGTTGAGAAAAATTCAGTCTGACGAGAACTAGGTAAATCTACAAAGGGATCTGGACAGGCTGCAGGCCTGGTCCAGAAACTGACTTCTGGAGTTCAACCCACGAAGTGCAAAGTCATGAAGATTGGGGAAGGGCAAAGAAGACCGCAGACGGAGTACAGTCTAGGGGGGCCAGAGACTACAAACTTCACTGAATGAAAACGATTTTGGGGCGAGTATAATACCAGGCACATCTCCTGAGGCACACATTAACCAAATAACTGCTGCAGTATATGGGCGCCTAGCGAACCTAAGAATAGCATTCCTACATTTAAATAAGGAATCGTTCAGGACCCTGTACACTGCGTATGTCAGACCTATATTGGAGTATGCAGCACCAGTTTTGAACCAATACCTAGCCAAGCAGGCACGGAAATTAGAGAAATTGCAAAGGTTTGCAACAAGACTAGTCCCGAAGCTGAGGGGCATATCCTACGTGGAGAGGTTAAAAGGGAAATCGACCTGACGACACTGTAGGACATGAGAGATAGGGAGGACTTGATAACGACATATAAAATACTGAGAGGAATCGACAAGGTGGACAGAGACAGGATGTTCCGGAGATGGGACACAGCAACAAAGGGCCACAGTTGGAAGGTGAAGACTCAGATGAATCACAGGGATGTTAGGAAGTATTTCTTCAGTCACAGAGTTGTCAGAAAGTGGAATAGTCTGGGAAGTGATGTAGTGGTGGCAGGATCCATACATAGTTTTATGAAGAGGTATGATAAATCTCATGGAGCAGGAGTGACCTAGTAGCGGCCAGTGAAGAGGCGGGGTTAGGAGCTGCGATTCGACCTCTGCAACAACAACTAGGCAAGCGCGAGATCGCGCTCGCACACACACACACACACACACACACACACACCACACACACACACACACACACACACACACACACACACTACTCTTCAGCCACAGAGTAGTCAGGAAGTGGAATAGTTTAGGAAGCGATGTAGTGGAGGCAGGATCCATACATAGCTTTAAGCAGAGGTACGATAAAGCTCATGGTTCAAGGAGAGTGACCTAGTAGCGACGAGTGAAGAGGCGGGTCCAGGAGCTTGGACGCGACCCCTGCAACCTCAACTAGGTGAGTACAACTAGCGAGTACACACACACACACACACACACACACACACACACACACACACACACACACACACACACACACACACACACACACACACACACACAGGTATGAGACCCAGGAAAATAAGGAGATTAGTCGAAGAGTTAGAAACGAATATGCACAAATAGGGAGGGAGGCCCATCGGTAAGACGAGAATGACATAACACTGAAAGCCAAGTCTGACCCGAAGATGTTGTACAGCCACTTCAGGAGGACGACAATAGTCAAGGAACAGGTAATCAGGATGAGGAAGGAGGGGAGTATACCTGAAGAGAGTTTCCGGGGTAAACGCCCCCTAGGCCCAATCTGAGACCAGGCGTTGTGGTGGATCAGAATCTGATCAACCAGGCTGTTACTTCTGGCCGCACGCAAGCTGACGTACAAACCACAGCCCGGCTGGCCATATACTGATTTTAGGTGCCTGTCCATTGCCTTCTTGAAGACAGCCAGGGATCTATTGGTAATCCCCCTTATGTATGCCAGGAGGCAGTTGAACTGTCTTTGACCCCGGACACTTAGTGTTGTCTCATAGTGTACTCATGGAGCCCCTGCTTTCCAGTGGGGGAACGGTGCATCTTCTGCCTAGTCTTTTGCTTTCATAGGGCGTGATTTTCGTGTGCAAGTTTGGTGCTGTTCTTTCTAGGATTTTCCAAGTTTATATTATCTTTCTCGCCTGCGTTCCAGGAAATACAAATCAAGGGACTTCAACCGTTCCCAGTGATTTAGGTGCTTTTCCGTACTTTGTGACAAGAAATTTCTTAGAACATTCTCCAGGTCAGCAATTTCGCCAGCCTTGAAGGGGGCAGCTAGAGTACAACAGCATTTCAGCCAAGAGAGAAGCAAGCTATTTTAAGAGAATTATCATGGTCTTTGTGTCCCTAGTTTTGAAGGTTCTCATTATCCATCCTATCATTTTTCTAGTAGAGGCAGTAGATACATTGTTGTGGTCTTTGAAGGTGAGATCCTCTCGCATTATTACTCTCAGGTCCTTCACATTACTTTCTCGTTATATTGTATGGTTAGAATTTGTTGAATACCCTGATGCAGTTTTAATTTCCTCAAGTTTTTCATATCTGGGCAATTGAAATTTCTCTCCATTGAATTTCATTTTGTTTTGAATGGCACATTTGAAGATTTGGTTGATGTCTGCTTAGAGTCTTGCAGTGTCTTCGTTGGAGGTCACCGTCATGGCAAGTAAGTAAGTTTATTCAGGTATACACAAATACAGTTACATAGAATTATCATACATAGCAGCATATGTGTAGAGAACCTGGGATAACCCAAAAAAGTCAGACATGGAGCTATGACTTACATCTCTGTCTATGTCAGATATGAGGATGAAGAATAGAATGATAGCGAGTACTGTGCTTTGTTGAACAGAGCTTTTCACCGTGGCTGCCTCAGACTTTATTTACTATTACCCTTTGTGTTCTATTTGTTAGGAAGTTACAGATCTATCTACCAACTTATCCTTTTGTTCCTTTATCATGCATTTCGTGCGCTATTCCACCATGGTCCCACATGTCGAAGGCTTTTGCAAAGTCTGTGTATACTACATCTACATTTTGTTGATCCTCTATAGCATCCAGAACCTTGTCATAGTAGTCCAGTAGCTGGGACGGGCAGAAGTGATCTGCTTTAAATCCGTGTTGCCCTGGGTTGTGTAAGTGATGGGTGGTTGGCGTCGTGGGTATTAGAACCTTTTCAAAGAATTTTATAATATGGGATGTAAATGCTATCGGTCTGTAGTTCTTTACAATTGCTTTACTGCCACCTTTGTGGACCTCTTTCGACTTTAACATGACTCACGAAACCGTAATGACACGATTGCAAACAAACCATACCCCGGCCGGGATTGAACGGGATTGACGGGCTGGAGTTTTGAGACTCTATGACCGCGGGTTCAATCCCGGCCGGGGTATGGTTTCTCTTTCGACTTTATAAGAGTCCATCAAGGACCACTTCTTGTGATTTGATTATGGTCCATACTTGACCACTTGTGGCTTTAAAGAGTTCGTCATTGACCACTTTACCATAAAAGAATCCATAACTGATTTTTTACGACTTAATAAGGGCCCATTCCGGACCACTTGTGGCGTGATAAGAATTCAACTAGGACCACTTGTGACTTCTTAATGCTACATCTCGGACCACATGTGACTTCTTAATGCCACACTTCAGACCACATGTGACTTCTTAATGCCACACTTCAGACCACATGTGACTTCTTAATGGTACACCTCGGACCACATGTGACTGACTTAATGCAACATCTGAGACCTCATGTGACTTCTTAATGCTACATCTCAGATCACATGTGGCTTCTTAATGCTACATCTCAGACCACATGTGGCTTCTTAATGTTACATCTCAGACCACATGTGACTGCTGTATCATTAGTGTTTGACAATATAAGGTCCATCATCAGACTTCTTATGTTCACCATCTCCCGCCACTGTACTAGATAAGGATCACTAGACCACGGTGTAACTTGATAGGACGAATAAGCACCACGGTGTAACTTGATAAGGATCGACTTAAGACCACGGTGTAACTTGATAAGGATCGACTTAAGACCACGGTGTAACTTGATAAGGATCTATCTCAGACCAATTGAAACTTGATAAGACTTCATGTAGGACCACTTGTGACTAAATACCATTCCACGATAACGTGTATATTGCAAAAGGCCTATGCATTAGTTTCTAATGCATAGGCCAGCTGTGAATATTCTGTAATGTTTCTTACCACAATGTGCGTCAAGCCATGACAGTTGCTGGTGTATGACAGTGTCATGATGCTGGCGGAGGCAGCGTGACCCAGTAATGAGGAGCTACATTATTTTCTTTCAAGACTATTCTGATTATTTGTTTATCTGGTTGTGATTACTGGTTTAGCAATTCCCAGTGAAACAACTAAAATTGTACTGGAAGGAAGTGAACTCACGGTTGTTTTCCTGTGGACAGAAGTGAGGACATGTAGACACACTCATTCTCCTGTGGTCAGAAGTAAACACACCGTCGTTCTCCTGTTGCCAAAAGGTAACACACGCACTTTGTCTCTTCATTGGTCAGAGATGCACACAGAGCGTGTCATTCTCCAGTGGTCAGAACTGTATTCAAAATCTGTCTGTGACAAAATGCCCAGAAAGATGCAAAAACAGTCACAATACAGTTCTCAAAAGTATGTACTAACACAGCCCTTCATTATCTTACGTCAGAAATATACATAACTACTCATTCTACAGTGGGCTGATGTGTACATAAACATTCACTCACAAGTGGTCAGATGTGTGTACACACACAAACACCCCCTCCCCCACACACACACACTCCAGAAGTCTGTTTTGTACATAAACATTAACTCTCATGTGGTCAGAAGTCAGGATAAGAACTCGCTCTCCAGTGGTCAGGGATCAAAATAAACCCTCACTCTCTAGTGGTCAGACATCAACATAAACACACCCTAGTGGTCAGACATCAATATAAACACACCCTTGTGGTCAGATGTGTACATAAACACACCCTAGTGGTCAGACATCAACATAAACACACTCTAGTGGTCAGATGTGTACATAACACTTACCAACCAGTGCACGGGAATGTACACATCACAACACACACCAGCTGCACACTGAGAGAGACAGGATGAAGCGCAACAAATCTAACTTATCTCCGACGATTCTCTCCCCCATCCGCATCCCAGCTTCCATTCACCTCCCAGTCCCATCCATTTTCTAACCCCAGTCAACCTCCCTACCACCATCCACCTCCTTGCCCCTATCTACCTCCCTGCTCTATCCACCTCCCTGCTCTATCCACCTCCCTGCTCTATCCACCTCCCTGCTCTATCCACTTCCCTGCTCTGTCCACCTCCCTGCTCTATCCACCTCCCTGTGCTATCCACCCCCCTGCTCTATCCACCCCCCTGCTCTATCCACCTCCCTGCTCTATCCACCCCAGCTCTATCCACCTCCCTGCTCTGTCCACCTCCCTGCTCTGCCCACCTCCCTGCTCTGTCCACCTCCCTGCTCTGTCTACCTCCATGCTCTGTCCACCTCCCTGCTCTATCCACCTCCCTGCTATGTCCACCTCCCTGCTATGTCCACCTCCCTGCTATGTCCACCTCCCTGCTCTATCCACCTCCCTGCTCTGTCCACCTCCCTGCTCTATCCACCTCCCTGCTCTGTCCACCTCCCTGCTCTGTCCACCTCCCTGCTCTATCCACTTCCCTGCTCTATCCACCTACCTGCTCTATCCACCTCCCTGCTCTATCCACCTCCCTGCTCTATCCACCTCCCTGCTCTATCCACCTCCCTGCTCTATCCACCTCCCTGCTCACTTTCCCGTCCATGAACCCCTCAACCTTTCTGCCCCCAGCCACCTTTTGCCCCATCCATTTTTCAGCCTCATCCACCTTTCATCTCTCACCCCCCCCCCTTGCCCCTTTTCACCTTTCTAACCGCATGCACCTCCCTGTCCCATCCACCTCCTTGCATCATTCACCTCCCTGTATCATTTGCCTCCCTGCATCATTCACCTCCCTGTATCATTCACCTCCCTGTATCATTCACCTCCCTGCATCATTCACCTCCCTGCATCATTCACCTCCCTGCATCATTCACCTTCCTGCATCATTCATCTCTCTGTATCATTCGCCTCCCTGCATCATTCACCTCCCTGCATCATTCACCTCCCTGCATCATTCACCTCCCTGCATCATTCACCTCCCTGCATCATTCACCTCCCTGCATCATTCACCTCCCTGCATCATTCACTTCTCTGCATCATTCCTCCCTGCATCATTCTCCTCCCTGCATCATTCTCCTCCCTGCATCATTCCTCCCTGCATCATTCACCTCCCTGCATCATTCACCTCCCTGCATCATTCACCTCCCTGTATCATTCACCTCCCTGCATCATTCACCTCCCTGCATCATTCACCTCCCTGCATCATTCACCTCCCTGCATCATTCACCTCTCTGCATCATTCACCTCCCTGCATCATTCACTTCTCTGCATCATTCTCCTGCTCCTGCATCATTCTCCTCCCTGCATCATTCTCCTCCCTGCATCATTCTCCTCCCTGCATCATTCTCCTCCCTGCATCATTCACCTCCCTGCATCATTCACCTCCCTGCATCATTCACCTCCCTGCATCATTCACCTCCCTGTATCATTCACCTCCCTGCTCATTCATCCTCTCCACCTCCCTGCATCATTCACCTCCCTGCATCATTCACCTCTCTGCATCATTCACCTCTCTGCATCATTCACCTCTCTGCATCATTCTCCTCCCTGCATCATTCTCCTCCCTGCATCACCTAACAGCTGTATGCACTAATCGATCTGTTAATATAATTACTTAACGCTGAGCGCTAATATCCGACTGGTTACTTTGGTTAGTTAGCTGACTTAATGGATTACAGTCACCTGCTGTCTTACAGAATGGGTCATGTCACCAGCAAGAGGTTTATTACCACTAACTTGGCGACGACTTCTTTGCTCACTAGCCACAGAGAGGTAATTGATCAGTTTACTTAGTCATCACTTTACTCTAATCTCCATCAATCTATGACCTGTTAAATGTCTCAATTAAGGAACGACAGACTTGGCTGCTATCTAGGTAACTCACACACGCTTCATAATACTGACAGATTTAAGCGTTTGTGTTGTGTGTGAGGCAAGTCGCACTGCATAACTGTATTTAAATACTCAGTGACAGACAATTGACTATATATATCGCATACACGTGCCAAGTGTGGCTGAGCTGCGCTGAGCTGCGAGCACTTCCACCTGACAGGCGACTGGCACTATATTCGCACACACTTGCTCCAAATGTCTGGAATTAGCAGACACTCCAACTAGATACCGGTCAGTAAAAAGCCTCGAGGAAGTGTTGGTTTAATTCTCCATTTATGACTGAACTGTGGGCTTGTTATAAAGTCTAGAATGCATCAGTAATATTAGATTGCCACAGTCAATCGACAGACATGATAAGAAAGGACAGTTTCCCATTGGGTGCTATACTCCCATCGGACGCATCAGTTACTATTAAAATCCAACAGAAGTGTACTTGGGTGATGGCAAGACCCCATCTTTTGACACATGCTGATGCATGTGATCAGGAGGCTAACCTTTTCAACATATCACTACAAACTGGCATAGTGCCTGATAAGTGGAAAATGGCAAAGGTAATACCTATTTACAAGGAAGGTGACAGGTCCTTGGCTTTGAATTATGTACCAATAAGCCTTACCTCCATAGTGGGAAAATTTATGGAATCGATAATTGCCGAAGCAATTCGTAGCCATCTTGAAAGGCATAAGCTGATTAATGAATCTCAACACGGTTTTACAAAGGGGCGTTCCTGTCTTAATAATTTACTAACTTTCTTCACTAAGGTGTTTGAGGAGGTAATTCATGGTATTGAATACGATACTGTGTATATGAACTTCAGTAAGGCTTTCGATA